GGATATTTAACTGCTCCGGCAAAGTTCCAAGTTCTTATAACCGATTAAAATAGTAGATATTTTTTTTGTCCTTCAAAATATTCTTATAAATTCCTACAAATTGTATGTATTGTACAAAAGTGTTAAACATACTTTAGTTAAAGAGTATTCGGAAGTAGGTATTATTTCAAAAAATGTGCGAATAATTTGATAACAAAAAAAGATATCGAAACTTCAAACTAACCTATAAAAAGTTTTATCCTGCTACTTCACCTTTTTAAGAAAACGTGAAACAACCTAAACTAAATAGGCCATACCATTTAAACGACACTCGTTAGAAATTTCAAACTTGTGCTATATTCAATCAATCAATCAATCAATCAATTTTTTGTGCTGAATTCATTTATATAAAAAAACTATAACATTGCATTCAAAATTTTTTAATAAAATCCATAAAACGGCATTATTTTGAAATAACGCCATCTATAGGTTTCCATATTTAGGTAAATGACATTACGCATTCACCACGAGATAAAGCATGAAGATACCTTTCCAACGAGGTACAGCACTATTGGGTTTTAATGAGCCAATAAAAAAAATGCATTTTTCTGATCAGACATTTCTAAAAAAAAACACATTCAACTATCTAAAATTTTTAGATGGATTCTATCTACAAATATAGTATCTAAAAAGATCGTTTAATTAAAGCAGTGTTCCATCAAAAACGCTATTCATTAATTGACAACAACGACACAAAACTGAAAGTTATATTTTCTGGGACAATACATCTTGTTACATGTAACAAGTACCTATATAATACCTTTTTTGCAATTAAAAAAGTGAGGTTTCCTGAATCACAAAAACTACAGACTGTTTCAGGTATTCTGCGATCTCTACATTGGCTACTCAAAGAAATGATGGAGTTATCTTAAAAAATAAAGTAAGTAGCAATGGCTTGAAGATCTTTAACTTTTTGTATAACCAAAATGACATGAAGACAACTTTATATAAATCCATCTATTTTGACTCAAAGAAGCTACCCTTGCAATTGTATTTGTATTGTAATTAGTGTTTAGTACAATAGCGTTGTTTTAACTTATGTAAAAAGTACAAAACACAAGAAAATTGTAGGAAATCATGAAAAATATGTGCTGTACTTGAGTGCTTCTCTCATTGAATTTATCTCCTTCCATTAATTTTCCTCCAGACCAAAAACTCTGTAGAAAATTACCAATGAAACATCCGTATTTATCTATGCGAGCGCATGCTTTTTTTTTAATGATAAAATAAAATAAATTTCACCGTAATAAATCATAAAGCACACTTCCAACCGAACAAACAGTATCTACAAATTCTCGACCACTCTGACATCTTTCAAATTTATACAGTGCCATCTATTGGTTGGTGAATTTCACCCCTGTCATTTTAATACTGCAACAAGCTGTCCCCTTAAGTCTCACGTGACGTAAAGCATCGCACCTTTGAAAAATGCGAAAACTGGTGGCGGGAAACACGGATTTAATTGTAGTAGAAGCCGGGTGTCGACGGCAATATCACGTTTTTCATTTAGAAGCGCATCATTAGGGACACGCTAGACAAAGCCTGCTTCGCCTGGTAATAAATGACTTCTTTTTTTTATTAATGGCACCCCCAAGCGACGGAGCCGTGGAATTGGATTTGTTTCGTGTCAATTGATTACCACGATTATCCTTCGAGGAGATACAAATATTCTTCCTTTCCTACAGTTTGTGTATGATTGTGCTCATTGCTAAATCCTTATTAACGAGTTGTTTCCTCGCTTTTCTACATGACAGGTGCAAATTTTGTCGTACAAAAACCATTACGTACAATATCGAAAAATCAAATGGTTTAAAGAAAATTCACATTTCTGTTTTTTGCATAAGAATACAGGAAATAGATAATTCCCAACAAAATGCTGTACAATCTTTTTGAAGTTAGAAACACCATATATCTTTAATAGTTTGCAATACAGCTATTAGTCCAACCAAATTACACTTGGTGAAAAAAAATTGTTACCTGGACTTTTATAAGTGGAAATGGTAAAAGGGCTTATAATAAACCTAAATAAAATAAATGCGAGAGCAGGGGCGGCGGAGGGTTGATTTGGGGGGGGGGGGTTGAAATGTTATAAAAAATTGTATCATTGGGATTTCTGGCGAAAGTCGAGGTCAAACAAAAAAGTATCCACTACAAAAGTTGTAGACCACGCAAAAATCTACAACTTTTGTAGAGGTCACTTTTTAACATAACCTCAAAATTTCCGAGAAAAATACGAAAAACAGATTTTTTTCTGATTTTTCGTTTCTTATTTCGCATTTCCGCAAAAATAATTTAATTTTGACGAAACTTGGTGTAAGTATACCTTTCTCTGTCTTAAATAACCCCAAATTTTTTTAGATAAAAAAAATCAAGAAGTTTCTGAGATATTCATTTTTTTCGGCCTGAAACACTTTTTCAAAGAAAAATTTTACTTAAAAAAATCATCGTACAGAGTTCTGCCGGTAATCATTTTCTTCGTTTTGACATATACTTTTTGGTGAAATAAAAAAATCTGTAATAACATTTCGAAAACATGCTCAAAAATGCAAAAAAATAAAAAATGACTTACAACAATGAATTTTACAGTTATTGTTGATAATTTGTTTAAATTAAAAAACATTCCGAAACTGATTACACCATTCAATTCTACGGAAAAAAAATAAAAAAATGTGTTTCATTGTTTGACCCAAAACTTTATTTTTATACAGTATTACTTTAAACATCTAAGTCGAATTACAAATGCATAAATGATAAATTATCTCATGATGTTTTGAGATTTCAGTAATACAAAGTATTAACTGCAAAGTCTACTGTTGACGCGAAATCCGAAAACCCGAAATTTTGCAAAATCGTTTTAATTTTTTTCTGGCTTTATTTGAAAACGAATTTTAAATAAATTGCACTTTTTCGCTCTATCCAATGGCGTCAACATTTTTGCAATCCGACGTTTCGTCTTCGACGGGCCATTATCAGATTAATTTTTTTAAATATATCGCTGCTATTTTTATGACAAAATCTAGTCATTTTTAATTCTGTAGTAGATGATATTACTATTGTAATCGCTTAAAAAAATGTTTATCTATCATTAAACATTTTTCCTGAGTACGGCTCTGAAAGCTTTCAAAATACCTGTATCTATTGGAAGAGAGAGAGAGAGAAGAGAGAATAAAAGTCAATACAGCGCAAAATATTCAACAATTGTTTTAATCCATAATTTAAAATTTGTACCTAATAAAAAAATAATACGAATTTAGGAAATATTTTATTTCTAATTAGTATTGCTAGCAGTAGTAAACAATTGTTGGATATTTTGTGCGGTATTGACTTTTATACTGTTATGACTTTATCCAATAGATGTTTTGAAAGCGTTCAGACCCATACTCAGGAAAAAATTTAAATTATAGCTAAAAGAAGCTAATAACTTTTTAAGCGATTACAATAGTAATATCCTCTAATTCAGAATTAAAAATGACTAGATTTTGTCATAAAAATAGCAGCGACGTATTTAAAACAATTAATCCGATGATGGACCCTCGAAGACGAAACGTCGGATTGCAAAGATGTTGACGCCATTGCATAGAGCGAAAAAAGTGGCATTGTAAATATGTAACATATTTTGGTTTTCAAATAAAGCCAGAAAAAAATTAAACAATTTAGCAAAATTTCGGGTTTTTCCAGATATTACCGGAACTACTCCGAATTTTAAAACTTTCTAAACAGCATATTGTTAGGTATAAAAAAACACAACTTTTTTCTAATCTGAGCCACCCCGTATCTTTTACCGTTTCCTAAATCCTAATGCTATCCCATCCTTATCTTGGACACACTGTATATCTGTGAATTCATCAAACTTTAAAAAAGCTAAGTACGAGTATCGATCCTACGGAAAAAAAAATTATTATTCGTTTTATTTATTCACTATTCGACTTTTGTTTATAGCAATATGTACTGTATAAAAATAGTTTTGGGTCAAACAATGAGACAGTTTTTTTGTTTTTTTCCGTACAATTGAATGGTGTAATCAGTTTTTGATTTTTTTTTTAAATTTAAACAAATTATCAACAATTACTGAAAAATTCATTGCTGCAAGTAATTTTTTTACTTTTTTGCATTTTCGAGCATGTTTTTGAACTGTGACTACAAATTTTTTTATTTCACCAAAAGGTATATGATTGTCAAAACGAAAAAAAATGATTACCGGCAGAACTACGATAATTTTTTTAAGTAGAATTTTTCTTTGGAAAAAAAGTGTTTCAGGCCAAAAAAATCAATATCTCAGAAACTTCTTGATTTTTTTATCTAAAAAAATTTGAGGTTATTTAAGACAGAGAAAGGTATACTTTCACCAAGTTTCGTCAAATATTTTTGCGGAAATGAGAAATGAAAAACAAAAAAGTCAGAAAAAAAATTGTTTTTCGCATATTTCTCGGAAATTTTGAAGTTATGTCAAAAAATGACTTCTACAAAAGTTGTAGATTTTTGCATGATCTACAACATTTGTATTGGATACTTATTTGTTTGACATCAACTTTCGCCATAAATCCCACGTATTTATTTTTATTTTTTCGTTTATTATAAGCCCCTTTACCATTTCCACTTATAAAAGTCCAGGTAACAATTTTCTTTTTTCTTCCCTCTAAATGAGTTATTTTGATCGGTCTATATAGTCTCCCATTAAGTAGTTCTAAACTGATATTACTTTTTATGTTTTTTTGGACGCTAAACTCTTTTGTGAATTTTTTAATAAACCATGCAAAAAACATAAATTTTTTAAAAACATACAAAATTTGTTTAATATTCGGCGCTTTGTATGCGTTCAATTAGAAAAATTGTAGTAACTTCAAAATAACATGTCGCAAGGCCATACAAATTCTATATGTTTTTACAAAATTATTTTCTATTGCACTTATTTAATAAAACTATCTCAAAATTCCTTTTCATAATTGCTTATTTTGTTTCAGGCAATCCAAGGAACAAGTGCTCTCTCCAACCGGGACATTCCCTTATGGACTGGATCCGGTTGGGGTCCTCCGGGAGAGACCTCACCGGAGTCGGACCCAGAGCCGGCCAGCTTTCGGTAAGTTAAAAAAATAAGAATATGGATTTTCTTTTTGGGTGGAAAAATTGTAAGGCGTAATAAGAACTTCGAGGATTTTATTTGAACATGATTATTTTCTCGAAAAATGTACGTACTATCGATTTTCAAATAGTATACCTATAGCCTTTTTTGCATTATCCTGTGAGGTTTGCAAAGCCATTAGACAGTTCCTCGAAATGCACCCTCAAAATCAATTCAAGTTGTTGAGTAATAAAAAACGTACAGTTTTCTGAAACAGAAAAAATTTCCATCGTCCTCACGCATCCGGAATATTGCAGGTAACGAAGCACGAGCTGTCCCAGCACAACAAGGAGTACGACGCTTGGCTGGCCATCCGCGGCAAGGTGTACAACGTCACGGCGTACCTGCCGTTTCACCCGGGGGGGATCCAGGAGCTCATGAAGGGCGCTGGTATAGACGCCACCAAACTATTCGATCAGGTAGTTACATTCCATAATGAGAGAAACTCTTTTAGGGGCTTAGGAAGTCGAAATTGAACTTGTGCTAGTGGCCCCTGCATCTACAGTAGAATATCATTTTTCCATTATACAGGGTGTATCTAAATAACACCGAAAAAATTCAAGGGGCGATTCTCCGATGAAAATTAATAGGGGTTTTTGGTATAAAATTTTTTGAAAAAACCCTTCCCTGAAAAGTTACGCCCCTCCTAAAATTACAAANTGATGTTTTCAGTTTTGAGAAAAAAAATTTTTTCGCCAAGTTACATAACCTTGAATATAGCAAAAGCACGAGTTTTTTGCACTTTTAGGTTAGAATATCTCGGAAACCTAGGGTGATGGATCAATTCTGAGGCCAGATTCTGATTCAGCGAGCCAAATGCCTTCGGAAACGTAGTGTCTGATTTCTGGAATTTTTTCCTTGTTGGCCTGTGTAATTTTTGATAACTACAGCAGTTTCAATTTTAATTTTATATTTGTGATACATTATAAAAATTTCAAAATACTATAAATTATACAAATATCATCACTTTTTAAATACATTTTAAATACCTCGATACTTTAATTTAATTTATGAAAGAAAAAGTTTCGTGAAAATTAAAGAAGCCAATCTGAAAATCCCTAGACAGACAGTTTTTTTCAACTTTTAGGATGTAGGCCTGCCATTTATAAATACAGAAGTTAAGTATCGGGCCTGGACAAAATCAGTGCAATCATTATAATAACGTACTGCTAAGTCCATTTGTCCTTTCTGAGACACTTTATTTAAGGCCTCATCAAAGCATATAACGTAATGTTCCATGTTCTTTAAAGTATGGTCTAGTATTTCTTTAAAATACTCATTTAATCCAAAACAGCACAAATAGGACGCTTTCGTAGATCCCAGAGACATATTTTGGGCAATATCAGAATCAGGAAACATTAATTTATATAGAAGAATACTTTTATTGACGCTATTTAGTGAACCATGTGTCTCTACCAAATGGAGCACTCAATAGATTTCTGCTTTGCAAACATTTGCGTTTTTTGAGAAAAAACTTGTAAAACCCATATATGTAGTTTTAGGTGTCAGTACTTCTACTTGGTAACACTTCATCGCTGCTATTATTCAGGTCTAATTTAACACTGAAGAAATTTGAGATTCCACAATTTTGTTCTCGAATCTTAATATTCTTTTTATGCCCCTCAGATTTCATATGGGATAGTTTAGCCTGTCTTCCCATATTTGACGAAGTAACTTTCTTATTGCATATTTTGCATAGAAAACTAGTTTTATCTCCTAAAACTGCAGCTTTTATTGAAGACCATTCTGGACACAGTTTTTCGTCCAGTCATTCTTGCTTAAAATAACTTTTCTTAGACATGTTTTGACGTTACTTGCTGAAAGTGGATACTCCAGCCGACAAGAAACTAAAGGTCACAACAATCAACAAAGGAATTTGTATTATATTCTATCAAAAAACCCAAATCCCTTTAATGGATGGTCATAAACATGGAGACTATACAAGGAGTCCAAACTCCATGTAAACAAAAATCTTACAAAAATAAGAGGGCGCTAGTGTTCCATATGTCCCATATGTAGAGGGGAGATAAAAAGCGGCAGTTTGAATTATAAATCAATCATGTCATTTTTGTGATGTGTAAAAAATTTAAAAATAAATAATGTAAGCTATTTTGAATTATATAAATAATGAAAATATGTCATTACGGACTGTAATTAAACTAAATAGATAATAAAAAATATTAGCTTTATGAGAAGAATTTGGTGTTTGTAGAAAGAAACTAGTTCTCAAGGAATTTATGACGTGTCCTGTCAATATTAACCTATAAGTAAGGTTTATATTTTTGATAATTACTTTGACACAATTTTAGTTTAATGTAAGTAAAAAATAGTCACATTGTATACAAGAAGTTCCCTTCAAAAAAATAGTAATTCTTGTATTATTAATAATATGGAATTTTTACTTGTGGTAATAAAAAATAGAATATAAAAAAACTCGGTGTTTAAAATAAACTTTTTAAAATATTAATACAGATGTCCGATTTTGAGTCAAGTGATTCAGATGACTTATTAGACGCATTGTCCAGCTTGAGTGATGGTGAAATAGATTTACTCTAAGAAACAAAAAGAGTAAATTTTAACAAAATATACTCTATTATAAAGGTCACAAAAAATAGGTAATCTAAATATTTTATAACTGTTTAAAATCGATTAGTTTTCTGGGTATATATTTTAAAATTGCAGAAAAATTTAATTCTACTTGCATAAAATTATTGATTTAATTCGAACGTAACATGGTTCCATGACTTACTCCAAGGTAGAGCAAAATTAATAAGGTATTATAAAGAAATATTTTAGTAATGTTCTATATTTTTTTTACATATTTTGTAAAAATAAAAATAAAATGTTTATCTACCAAAGATTTCAATGTTTTAGTAATGGAATCAAAAATCGAAATTATTTGTACATACCTAACTAAAATAAAAATAAATATTTATTCTCTTATTAAAAATAAGTAATACTTGTCAGTCTATCTTCTTTTTCTTCTTAAAATTTCATTTTGTTCATGAAGCAAATTGATTTCCATGTTTAAATATTTAGTAAAAGTAGTCAATTACCAATACAGATCGATCAGCATCAAACAAGTACCCTCTCTTTAAATTTTATATGATATCTGAATTTCAATCAGTTTTTTACTAACAGGAAAGAAACGGCAACTAATTGGAAATGATTTATTCAATTCAGTAATGATAATAAAGATACAAATTTAATGCACGTAATATAAATTACAAGAATATGTAGAAATAAATAAGGTATACTTTGTTGCTATTGTCAATATTATGTGAACATATTCATAGTTGCTTTGTCGAGACCTCATCACAAGCCAACAGAACTTTTATTAGATTATACAGGACATGATGCTCACTTTCTAGTATAATTTCATCGTAACTTTATTGCTCTTGATTTACTTGCTGTACTTGTTGTTGTTGTTACAACTGTTGCTTTTGTTGTAACTGCTGCACCTGTTGTTGCTGGTGTAGCAGATGCTCTTGCTGTTGATGCTGCTAAACAGCTAAAGAAACAATGCATCATTCAATTATACAATATTTTCACTTCTGAAATCTTTCCATTTAAAAATTTCTCTACCTTATTGAGAATCAAAGAAGCTGCTTCCAACTTCCGAATTATTCGACCTTTTGCCATAATATTAACCCACTATTCGGTCAAGTTGTAATATAGAACTGCTGGACAGTGTTGTTCCTGACGTATTTGGTTTTAGTACTAGATTAACATCACAGTGTACTAGTTTTCTAAAATTTGTACTAGATATTGGGTTGTTCGTTATGCAACCAGATATACACTGTATACGTTTATTGGATGTTCCAACAGGGTCTCAAAAATGTTGAAAAATTCAACACCCACATAAAACTGACTCATTGTCACGAATATATTTTCAAAATAAAACAATCAAAGGTAAATAAAATTTTATTTTCAGAAGCAACATTATTGCAATTCAAATGCAAAATAAATAAATAAAACAACGTATTTACATGTAAAACTACATGTCAAAACTATCGTTATCGAAAATTTCAACATTTTGTACCACTTTTTTATTATAATTAACTATATTTGATGGAGGGACCCATTCGTAACATTTTTTATTCTGCACCCTCAACATATCTTTGGCATGCAATAAAGATTCGCATGTAGGCACAAGCAACTTATTCCTTATTTTTGTTTTTATTAAATTAAGCTGAGAGAATACTCTCTCAGCTGCAGCAGACGAATGTGGTAAAGACATTATACACTTTGCCACAAGCATAATATTTGGGAACATTTTTTTATTAATACCATTCTTAATACAATCAACATTAGCCCAAAATTCGACAACATTATCACTGTTTGCATATTTTTTAAGTTCTGTTTCTCCTAAAATTCTGTACTCAAAGTCTAGTTCTTGCACATTCAAGTTAAGAAAAGGAAATATGTTATCAATTTCACTAATAGTTGCAACTTCATTAGAAAAAATTACTACAGGATCAAAGTACGACGCAAACTGTAAAATTTGTTCTGAAAAATTAAATCTTTTTTTTATTTCTTTGCATAATTCTATGTAAAAATCTAGAACTCATAAGCGAAAATTTTTGAGCTCAGTGCTGTCTATATTTGATACCTGTCTGATAAATACATCTACTTTCGGGCCACAATAAATATTCTCTAATGGTAAGTATTTTTCAGGATCAGTAATAGTAACTTTACCAATATCAGATACTTGTATGAAAGGATATTTTATAAAAGATTTTAAAATTAATTTATACAAACTAGTCACTCTTTTTAATAAAACATGAATTTTTGGTGATTCGGATTGAAATTCAAGATTCAACCTATTAATGATGTCTAGTATATATGAAAGAAAATAAAAATATAATTTATACACAGGATTTTTTAAAGCTCCTAAAATATTATGAGCTGATGTAATATGATCTTCTAAAGCGGCTCTTGTAAAAAATAATTCTAATGATGTTCAATGTTCAAGGATACGGTTGACTACAAGTTGCAACGAAAGCCAACGAGTTTGACTCGGTCGCAGAATTTTATGTGGTTTCTCATTTGCAAACACCTCACATTCTTTGAATTCCATGCAGCGTTTACTGCTATTACAAAAGTAATTGTAAATATCTCTGCTAAATTGTTCAACATTTCTGGGCAATTTTTCACATGCGTTACAGGCACAGAGGTGAAACGAATGGCATGTACAACCTATTGTAACAATATGTGGATTTATGTTTTCAAAAAGTGCTTTTAAACCGTTTTTATTTCCCATCATTACACTACATGTATCAGCACCAAAGCCAATAATATGTTTGAATGGAATATTACATTCAATTAATATTTGTTTTATCGCTTGGAACAAGCCATTAGCTGTGGAATTTTCAACTTCCACTAAAGCAAAAAATCTGTCCAATATTTTGTCATTTTTATAATACCTGACAAGAACAGCGAGACATTTTGATGTGCTAATATCCGTCGTTTCATCTAATATCAAAGAAAAATAATTTTCTCTTAGATCACCTATAAGATTATCCTTATTTGATGGACCTATCAACATTTTAAGCATTTGAGTGGCTTTCTTTCTTTTCATTTTCAATTGTAAAGCAATTTTGGAATCTGGACAGACTGAAGCAATTAGTTGAGGAAGATGATCCATCAAATTAAAAGAAAGGTTATGTTCTGCTAGAAACATAGCAAGTTTAAGCTCAGCTTCCCTTACTTTTTGGTCCAGACTGTTTTCTTGGGTGTCTTTTAAAACTTTTGCCACTGATGGAGTAGACGATGCAGCTTTAAACTTTTCTATGTGTATTTTGCTGTTTTCGTGTCGTTTGAGATGAAAAACGCTTCCCATAATTGTTGTTTGGCAAGCCCGGCACTTCACACCATGACCATCACCAGTGTCATTGTTATTGGGTTCTGCCCACTTAAACTCCTTTTTCCACTGAACTCTGAATTTTTGGGCATAAATCCTTTTTTTCTGTACGATTTTTGTGTTATTTTCCCCATCTGATTCATTATTTCCTATGTTTTCATTTTCTTTTTCACTTAAATTTGTGTCCAATCTTGGTTTTTTTGTAACAAATCTATAAAACAGAGTTTAAACCTAAATCAATAAACCTACAACTATAAAATATCACTTATTTACCGATCCATGATGAGGTGGACGCTAGGATAATTAAATTAAGCCTTACATTAAAAATGACGAATTTCTTGAACTGAATTAACTTGCCTTGCGGACAGTCACTGAACAATAAACAATAGAACACAATAACCTTAAACGTAAACCTAAAGTCAATCATGGTATCACAGACTACAGAGTAAGAGATCCAGTGACACAGAACATAAGAAAACGGATGCGTTAGGTCCGAGTTGTCAATCTATAAGTAGTAGGTACATTGGTATTTTTATAATGCGCGAGCGCGATTGTCATCACCTTTTTAGCTTATAGCAGACTACGATATTTAATTTTAATTATTCATGGTGAGACCGAGGACATCCTTTATGTAAGGTGAAAGTGTACTAGATTTTAGAGTGGAGTACTAGTGTACTTTTTTATATAAAAATGTACTAGATCTAGTACAATTGTACTAGCAAGAACATCACTGAAACTGACAAACCGCAAACCTAACCTAACATAATACGAATTGAAACGACACACGGGAAACAAATAAACTCGGGCTGTTACGCGCAGTCTACGCAAGTCACGAACATACACTTTTTCTAGACTTGTGTTATAAATATGCTACCACATTTTTTTTTCTAATTATGTCTATATAACAAAGGCAAATGAACTAACGCTTGAGAAGGATTGCGGATTGAGAGCAAAATTCAACTAATGCCGAATGTTCCATAAGATAAGCAATAATAGCAAAGGGTTGTTCGTCTGTTATGTTTTCGAGATCGAAAGGGAATGTTTCGAGTAATGTTTCAAACTCTCCTAAATTGGAACGTTTCGGCTATGTTTCACTAAATAAGTTTTCAAGTGCTACATTTCTGTAATGAAACAGAAACGTTTCTAGTTAATGTTTCAAATGTTCAGTAAAACATCTCATTTGTGTCGGAAAGTGATGACTGATGCCCAATCTCGGACGTAAACACCGAGAGTCATCTAGACGCCTAAGTGTGCGGGACCCAAAGTGAAGGGGGAAGAAAAGATAAACATTCTGGCTAGAGCGGAATAAGGACCGCCTTGAGGCAGAGGCATTCATTAGATATACACCAACTACGTAACATGTAAAATACTTACTATTCGAAGTTAATTTAATTATAATGTTTTACAACATTTCCGAGTTTTATTGCATTATTTCTAACATTTGCAACGTTTCATTTATGTTTCGTGTTTAGTGGGATAGGTTATAGCATACTTTAATTTCTAGAATTATCAGTTTCCAAATTGGGTTTATTTTCGTGTTATATGCGTGCGACTAAGTTTACCTACTGCTGGATATGAGTGTGACAACATTGTTTTGCCGACACACCGCATTTTCCTCGGACGTTGAACTTTTTTAAGATGGACTTGTAGAATGCACCGTTCATAGTTAAGAGTCCAAAACCCATAATAAATTTAGGCATACTTAGAGACCCAGGAACTCTCACGAATTCAACCTTCCCACTTTTAATCTCGAAAACGCAGCGAAATTTGAGGGTATTGCATGGGAAAAATTTTGTAGATAATGAGATTTTCTATCGAAATAGCTTATTTAAAAAATTTATTTACTGCAAAATATATATTAAAAACAATTTAATAAAAAAATGTAAAAAATTCAATTTTTTGTTTTTTTTTTACTTTTATGCAAATAACGTTTTTTTGAGCAGAAATAGGTATAGGGATTGGTTCATAGAAAAAAAAGTATATAAATTTCCTACAAAATGACGGGTTATAAGATTATAAGAGTTTTTTCGATGAAAATGGACTGTTATGGTCGTTCAAACTTTGCCATTTTTTTCGGTTTTTACTGAATTTATGACAATATTGATTTAATACTTTATTTTGAATATGCAATTGATTTTTAATCAATAAAGACATGTTAAATTAATTTATCAATAATAAATAAAAGTTATACGAACGTGTATAGTTTTTATTTTTTATTTAACAAATTAACAAATATAATTTATAAAAATATCTATTTGTTCAATTAAAATATACGTATTGTCAATAATTGTGACAATGCTCAACAAACAGAGAGGTATCAGAAGACGATGTTCTTCAAGAAGTCGACAAAGAAATTGATATGCAGTTTGATAATATTATTGAAGAAATATGATAATTAAAATTATGAAATGTAAAAAATTTAATTTAAGTTTAATAAAATGTTTTTTACATAAAATAATTTTATTATTTAAAATCTTTGCATTAAATATTTTTTATATTCACAAAAAAGCAATTTTTAAGAAAAAGTAGTTATTAATTTGTTTCATATACCTATATGTATATAAAACCATATAACTTTTATTTATTAGGTATTGATAAATTAATTTAACATACGTCTTTATTAAATAAAAATTAATTACGTACTCAAAAATAAGTATTAAAACAATATTGTCATAAATTCAGTAAAAACCGAAAAAAAAATGGCAAAGTTTGAACGACCATAACTCAGTCCAATATCATCGAAAAAACTTTTATAGCACATCATTTTGTAGGAAATTTTATATACCTTTTCCATGAAACAATGGCCATATTAATCTCTGCTCAGAAAAAAGTTATTTGCATAAAAGTAAAAAAAATAAAAAATTGAATTTTTTTGTTAAATTGTTTTTAATATATTTTACAGTAAATAAATTATTTAAATTTTTTAAATAAGCTATTTTCTACAAAATTTTTTCTATGCAATACTCAAAAAACCGTAAGGGTTGCAATTTCACCCCTATCTCCAATTTCCACCCTCTAATTTAATAGCACTCCGCGGTTTTTTCATTCTAAATAACCATTTGAACGATTCATGCAATAAAAACCCATCAACGTTGTAGTTCCATACCATATGACATAATCAATAGCATACATGTAAATAAAACATAACTATTGACATTGTTTTTCGAGCTTTTATTAAAATCTAGCCCTACACATTGCATAAGACATAATATACAAGCACTAGCAGTATCATTCAAATATATTTAAGTACGTGCAATGGATGTAGAAATTTAAATTGACAGCGACAGTTCCCATACGCGTCACAACACCGAATCCTCACTGCTCTCGTCCTGATATTCACCATTTTCCAGATCCACCCTTGGGTAAACTACGAACAGATCCTACAGAAATGCTACGTGGGGAGGCTTGTAGCCTTCGAACCCGGCGCGGACGTTGAAGCCCTCTTCTTCGGAAGCAGAACAAGCCCGACATTCGAAAACGATTCCAACAAAAAACCCTCCATCAAAACTTGGGAGCCTCCCAAGAAGAGTCCTCTAGCAAGGCCACAGGATCTACCGAATAAAGAAGAACCGTGGCAGAAGGAAGAACACGTACCTCAGAAATTCACTCTGCCGATAAACTCTCCCGAATTCAGAAAGCCGAGAATAAAATTTCTGGAAAAGTACCCTCCGAAAGTGGATCCCGAACCCAAGGAGGACCAACCAGATGACGGTCCGGTACTCCCGCGCTTCGACTGGATCCAGAGGACGCGCTGGATCAATCTGATGTTCTACACCAAGTCCTTCTCCAACCCCCTGGTGGAAGTTTTGCCCCCGGATTACGAGCGGACTTTAGTGGTAACCCTCATCTACGACGACACGATCTTCACCAACGAGATAGTGTTCCACGACAAAGTGAACTGGCCCTGCACCATTCACGTGTCCTTCGAGACGGGCAAGATCGAGTTGGAATTCGAGAAGACCGAGTGGAAGATCTGGGACGACGTCGGGGTGCTGCGGCAGGAGTGTAAACCGGTCGGCACCACCATTAACTGTTGTGCTAAGTGTAATTTCGTTTTTAGCGAAAAGAAGCAGGTGACCCACAACACCTTCCTTGTTAGGCTGGAGCGAACCGACGGCGCGAGGGTGGTGGTCCCCATAGGGAGGCACGTGAGGGCGTTTGGAAACGTGGAGGGTGAGTAATTTGAGTTATTTTACTGTACCCGTTTCTAGGCCATAATCATAACACAGACCGACGAAATTTTAATGCGGAAACCAGCAGGCATACTTTTTCCCAAAGTTTGCTCCATCATCGCGTCAAGTTTTCGAGACACCCTAACCTAAAAGTGCGAAAAACATTTTTTTCGAGTTTCAATAAATCATACAGTGATGCACTTAGGTGACCCTTCTTGGGCTTAACATTTTCTCCAAGAGTTGTACTTTCCTGTGCAAATTGTGCGCGTATTACAAATTAATTGGAAATATGCGAAAAATCTACCCAAACTTTGAGTTTTTGAAAGAAAAAAAATCTTTCTCGGCTCCTGTTAGTCGTAGGACAACTTTTTTTTAAATTCGAGAAAAAGTGTCAGTTTTCAAATGGAAAATATGCCATTCCGATTAAATTTCGACGATAATAGTCCAGGGAACAACTAGAAAAGTAAGGTGAAACCTCCGAATACTTTCGGATAGATCCGATTTTTATGAAAATTTGGAATTAAGCTTATTTCACCCTGTAGATGAAAAGTTATATATGCTTGATATGCGCTTCTTATTTTCAGGAGATGAAAACCACCCCTTATGCTAAAACACTGAATAAATATAAAAATAGGTGTTGTATAGACTAAAATCATATCTTAATAACGAGCGTTCAAATAAAAACGTGGTCGAAGTTGGCTCTGACACATTGGACGTAGGGAGTAGCTTATAGCGACCAACTTAACCTCATTTCTCAACGAGCTGTATAGCAGCTGTCAGTTTCAATAACGTTAATGACTATATAACTTTATTTTAAAGAATAATCGTGATAACAATAACAAACAATTAAAGGAGCTGCGGAAAGTGTCCCCCTCCTTGTTATAACAATAAATTAAAGCAGCTGCTGAAAGTGTCCCCCTCCTTGTTCCAAGCACTTTTCACACCTGTTCCTCAAAGAATTAAAGACATTTTCTAAGATGCTCGGGGTATTGTTAATTTCACGACTCTTGTCTATAAGTCGAGCCTGCAGATGGTTTAAATCAGGAATAGGCAGTTCAAAAATAGTGTTTTTAAGGTAAAGTCACAAAAAGAAATCACACGGCGTAATATCACATGACCTCGGTGGAAATTCATGTTCAGCATTGAGACTTTTTTGTCGATTTTGGAAAACTTCCCTCAACATATTCATCGTCTCGCCTGCCGTATGTGCCCTTGCGCCATCTTGTTGAAAGTTAAAGTTTGTAATTTCGTTTTCTTCCAGTTGGTTAACAAAAGGAGCGATAATTTCTTCTCTATACCTTTGCGCAGTAAGAGTACCATTAAAAAAAATAGGTCCATAAATCCTCCTTCGATTGAGAGCACACCAAACTCCAATTTTTTGAGCGTGTAGAGGGCCCTCGACAAAAATGTTATCTGGTTTTTCAGAAGACCACTTTCTCATATTCTGTGAGTTTACGTAACCACTTAAATGAAACCAGGCTTCATCAGAAAAAAAGGTGATATTATGAAGTTCACCGTAGTTGTTTAAAAACCATTCACAAAATACAGCCCGTCGCGGAAAATTAACTTCATGAAGTTCTTGCTGGCAAGTTAAACGATAGGAGAACAAACGCAAATCTTTTTTTAACACTGTGTGGCAGGTACCGACTGATACTCCCACCATTTGTGATAAAACACGTACAGAAGTTCTTTTCGCATTTTCCATTATTTGTTGGACATTTTCTTTTAATTATTCAGTCCGCTTTTTAGGTCGGCCGCTTCCTTTTTTTCTTGTTACACTGCCCGTTTCACGAAAAACATTAACACAACGCTGAACTGCACTTTGAAAAATTTTGTACTCAACAACGCCGGGAAATTGATTTTGAAATTCTATGAAACATGCCTCAATAGAATACTTCCATATTCCATCAATCTTGCGTCCATTTCTAAAGTAGGACTCTATGATAAACACTTTTTGTTCTTGAGAAAACACCATTTTAAACGCTTTTTAAAACGAAAATATTCAAATTGATAGCGGCGATATAGCGCTTTGACAGATGACGTTTAAGATCATTTGCTATACGCTACGCCCTACGTCCAAATTTTCAGAACCAACTTGACCACGTTTTTATTTGAACGCTCGTTATATAGAATAAATATTGCTTTATAGTGCGGGTTATAATTTACGTTATTTTTATAAAGTTTCAACCCTTAAAAACCACCTTTAATGATAAAAATATAAAATTAATAGTTTCTTTGACCTTAAAATATTTTTATAGCGCATATATTATAGATATAATCTTTTCAATAATTTATTAGGGTATTATAAATAATGTATTACAATATTTCAACCCTAAAAAAACAAACAAAATATTAAAAAAAATAGTTTTTAACAGTTTAAAATGATTTGATAGTACAAACAGGATAAATTAAATTCTTTTACCTGTTTATAATACAGTTTATAATTTATCGCATTGTTTTAAACCCTTAAAAACCACCCCCAATGATAAAATAAAAAAAAATGACAAATTATTTAAAATGAATTATAATGAAGGATTTTATTTTTGTGCTTACTTTTGTTCTACACGTTTTACTTTTCAAGATTTCAGTACCTAAATACGCCAGAAAGACTATTTCTTGGCCAGGGATATGAAAAACATAACCTTCGTCCTCAACTGCAAACGTCTAACAGCAACATCTCTGTTAATTTTTATCCTACACAAATAAAAAAAACAAAATATTCTGTGAAAAAAAATCTAAACTTTTCTATTCTTGAATATTTTTTATCTTTTTTATTTTATTTTTAGTTATTTTCAAAAGTGTGTTATTTTTTTTGGAATTAAAAATTTTTTTCAATCAAAACGTAATATTTTCAAAAATATGCATTATGAACCGCTTATATTTGTATAATATATTGTTAGCACATAAAAAAATGTAAATTGTAGAAGAATTGCCTTTAATTTTAAATCTTGTGAAAAATTCAGCAGTTTCTGTGCTGATTTTTTTTCGAAAAAGCAAATTAGTTTTATTTTGATCATAACTGTTAATTTTTATGCTAATGACAAAGATTTTTTAAAGTACTTTAAGTCATTTTTCTTGAAAATAGAATTTTTTTTAGTTATTTTACGTTAAATGCTTCCAAATTAGTTTCTGGCGGATATGAAAATATCTTCAAGCAGCCGTATCTCAGCAGCTATTGCACCTGCATAAATGAAAAAAAAAACTAAATTTTTTTCTTTTTCTATAAGCTTCATTTTTTCGTGATGATTTTTTTTTTTCATAGAATTTTCGAGTTATTCGAGAAAAACTACTGGAAAACGTATTGCAATAAAAATTGTACATTTTCAATCACCAAAAACTCAAAAAATATTGACATCGAAAAATGTTCATAAGATACTTTTTTAAAAATTGATTGCTGATTCCTGGGGTTATTTTCAATATTTTATTTTTCACCCCCTAGAAGGAGTGGCTTTCATCCCCTGGGCAAAAACGCTCATCGGCACTATATAACTTTTGTTTCTTGAGCATTTTTTTTATTTTTTACTTCCAGTCCAAGTTTCACGTCAATCGGTTCTATCGGAGGGGAAACCCTTGATTCCCTGGACTATAACAAAAAGATTACACACTACATTTTTCTACCTGAAAAAATAAATCAAGTTTGAGTAAATTTTTCGCATATTTCCAATTATTTTGCATCACGTGCCCAATTTGCACAGGAAAGTTGTAACTCTTACAATTAGAGAAAATTTTAAGTCCAAGATGGGTCACGTAAATGCATTACTGTATGATTTAATTAAAATTGAAAAAAAAATGTTTTTTTGAAAAACTACAAAATATTTTGCAATTTTACAAAAATGCACTTACTCTACTGGCCAAGGTGTACATATTCTGAAAGATTCGTAAAAAAATCTTTTTTCGTTTTAAAGATGTTTGATAAAAAATACGATTTTTAGCCGCTTTTTTGCAGTCACTAATACATTTGTTTATCAATAATTGACATTGGGCTTGGTTGAACATTTTTTTTATAAAAAGTTCTACGATTTTTGTCAAACATTTTTTTCTAAAATGATTAGTTTTTTTAATGAAAAAAAGTGTTTTTTACGAACTTTGGACGTTATTTTGGAAATGAAGCCCTAACATTTAGCTGGGGTAAACTAGGTCATCCAATTCTACGGAATTTTTATTAATTTTTACTTGTCTTTGTTTACTGAACTAAATCTTGGCACGTAAAAATCTAATTTGAACTATTTGATCAAACTATTTTGTATTGACCAGCTTAAAACATTAAATTTCGGACCTACGCCCTTTTTCCACTTAAAAAAAAACAACATTGATTTTTCATTCTCCAGGTCAGGAAATGTCCAGGAGTTATACACCCATCCCCAAAACATTCTTCACCCAGTTTGCGACACAGGGCCCCATCACCGACTGCCTGTGTCTCATGATCAAGAGGTACGAGAACGGAAATGTCAGTAGGTTCCTGACGAACAGCGAGCAGAACGACGTCATCCACATCACCAAACCCATAGGCGACTTTGACTTGCAGCTGTTGCGTAAGAGGGAAACCTACCTTTTATTGGCGGCCGGTACTGGAATAACGCCCATGTTGTCGATTATACAATTCCTGTTAGAGAGACGAGTGAAAAAATGGTAAGTACTAATGGCCCGTTTCGGAATTTACGTCATTTGCACTTTTTTAAAACTTTTTTCAGCCAATTTGCTAGACTACTCTTCTTTAACAGGAGGGAGGAAGACATTCCGTTTCGAGAACAATTTCAGAACTTTGTGGAAATAGACGACAGGTGAGTGAAGTATATTTAATACTTTAATTTTTATTCACTTTATTCTGTTTTTGGTTCTGGGTAAAATCACGTAATAAACTGACTCCTTCAACTGTGAAGGAAATGAAATCATTAAATCAAGTCTGCATTTTTAATTTTAACTTGAAATTTGGAAACATAAGAGTTGCGGAGTTGCAGAACACATAAAATTTTATGTATTTGATCATATTAAATATCAACAAAATATTTAAAGAATCCAAATGTACCCGCGTTAAAATAAATCTAGGAGCTTAGCTTATATTATTATTTATTACGACGCGAGCTACGCTCCTTAATATATGCAACCTCATATACAAAATGTGTGCACAGCGAACAATTAGATGCATCCTTCGTTTCTATCGGCTAATCAGGCACGTGACCCAGTACACTTTTATATGGGCTTATGTGGCTGCAACAACGACAGCCACTGCTACAGCAAATGCACAAATGCAGTAATATTTCGTACGTGGTATGTGGTGGTTTATTTCTGCGAGCGGCACGTGTGAATATTTTCATTTAGGCGTCTACGGATATTATAGTTATTAAAATGAATAGCGTTTCGTTTAAAAAAAAAAACTATTTGGTTCTCTGCCTTATGAGATAAACTAAAAATAAAAGAATTAGGTGGGCCAACACCACAATTAAATTTTGAAGTTGGTGGAACAAGCCGAAGTAAAAGTTATAAAAGACAATTTAACAATAATGTATACACAAAAGCAGAACGGGTGTACGGGTGTGATTTAAAAAATACACTGTTTAGTTTTCCGTGCTTACTTTTCGGTGGGTATCAAGCATGGACAATATACAGTGTAAAAGATTTAAGTAATTTAAGTCATTAGGTAAAATAAACATAAGAAGTCAGTTAGATTCTGCATATTGGGATAATATACGGAAACACAATGAACAGGTAACGAAAAATCGTTATGTATTATCTAAAATCGTAGATTGCATAAAATTTGGCGGAACTTTCGAATTAGCACTTCGCGGACACGTCAAGACAGAAAATTCGGAGAACCCTGATGTGTTTCGTAGACTCGTAAATTTTAGTGCAGATCTTGACGACATATTAAAAGAACATCTAGCCACATGGGTATGACCGGGATTTTCTGTGATTGTGCCGAGAATTAGCTGTATGGTCCCAGATTTCGGATTTGCACGTATAACTCCCGGAATATAATATGTACATATATATATAAAAAAAAAAAAAGAAAAAATCATAACATGGCGAGGAAAATTAAAATTCGTTGAATCGTTGGTAAACTTCACAATTGATTTTTTTATTCAATAATTTAATAAAATATATTTAGTTTATTCAAATTTATTTATACCGTCAGTAAGTAATTCGTGAATAGATATTTCAAAAAGTATCAATTTCAAAAATCGTTCTTGTGAAAATCTGAATTTTTGTATAAATGGATTGTTCCTTGAAATTCAGAAGTGCCAGGAGAACGCGTGACCTTGAAAATTTTAAAATATTTCGCCTGCGGCGCCATTTAAAGACTCTCCGGGCACTTAATATCCCGGAATTCTATTCAACATATGTAACAACCCTAAGCAGAACACATTCAATCAATGTTCACGTGCCGGAAGCATTTCGATCATTATCTGATGACATTCTTCAACAATTCGCAATAAAAAAATTTGTTTTGATTTTTCTTTTATGTCAATACAAAAACTTCATACTCTATCAGTTCAATTTTTTTACCTATTTTACTTTAAACGAGACAGAATTGTCGCGTCTTGTATTGTCGAGACAATGTCCCGTAAAATCATCACAGTCTTTTTTTTTGTTTTTTTTTTAAATCAGATATTTTCCAGGTAGGAAGTTTTAATTGGAACACCCTGTATGTGACTATTCCTGTAAAATTTTATGTACAAAGAAAATAAAGTTTATTATTACTTCTGCACATTCCTTCACAGAACTTATTTTTCTTATTTTAAATACCCGGGGTCGAATTAAAAATTTGCCCAATAAATCCCTAAACACCTCGAGTTACGTTACACTGAATTTTACCTGATTGTTGCTGTTTGCCAATTTACAGATTACGGGTCACCTACATCCTGTCCGAGCCCAGCAAGGACTGGACTGGCCTGACGGGCCACGTCAACAAGGAGAAGATCGACAACGCCATCCAGGAACACATCCGAGACACTGGCTACACGATAGCCAACATTTTCACCTTCATCTGCGGACCAAACCCATTCGTAGCTCTTTCGATAGAAGAACTACACCAAGTAGGATTAACCGACGAGCAAATTTATGCCTTTCAGGGATAGCAGCAGCGCCATGGTGGTGATTCCGCGCACCGCTGTTCTCTTTCCTCGGTCGCGGACGGCATCAGCGATTTCGTTTTTGGTATTTTTAATATGATCGGGGACACCAGAATCCGTTAATAACTTCAGTTCGCATATCCTTTTCCTCTTTTATTTTTATTCGTGTGTTAAGGATCTCGTATGTCGTTTTACTTTGTTATTGTTATCTGTAAAAAGATTGACGTATTTTATGAAATATTTATATACGATAAGGACTTGAGTGGAGGGAAAATATTCGTGAGGTTAAGTAAAATGTACGACTTGGCAAAAAAAAATTTGAAGGAGAAACAGGGGCTGACGGAACTCAAAAGATAAGGAAGATCACGGGCCTACCGCCTTTTGTTTTTCAGTTACGTTACGTCAAAGATCATTTTTTAAAAGCGAAGACTTGACGTCTAACTTCTCTTCAAACGTAAAATCTTTAGCGTGCAAATAATTTTTGTCATCAAAACCAAAATTTTAGAAGTTTTCTGTCTCGAAGGACTAAATTTCAGGTTTAAATATTAAATTTTTAATGTTTTCGGTTTAACTATTAAATTTTATGAGTTCAAACACAAAATTTCTATTTGAAACACAAAAAACACTAAATTCTATTTCACACCAATGCGGTAGCTAAAGTTTTATCTTAATAATTCAACGCTCAAAAATCCAAACTTTCAATGAATACAGTAATTTCAAACAGATTGTATTGCGTTGAAATTTGGTACAGGTAGCTAAGATCCTACTCCCTGACTTTTTTCGAGGTTAGGTTTTTGACAGTTTGTGTTGTATATTATAATGTAAACATCGATTTTCCGTAAAAATTTAGCCACCTTCTATTCCTTAATGTACGGGGTGTTAATTAAATACATCGACTCACTTTAAAGGATGATTCCTTGAGTGATTTTAATAAAAAAAAATCCTTTAGGAAATACAGTGTTGAAATTTAAAAAAATTATTTGATGGTAAAAATGCACTAGAGTGAACAGGCATCCTGTATAAGGTGTCCAGAAAAGAATAAACCATATTTCAAGGATGGCTTCCATTTTGTACATTGTAGAAAACCTAACCTCAAAAAAGCTGTCGTAAATTATTACTAGTTGGTCGTAGCTAGCGGTCTGTACCAGATGATCAATAAACACTGACGTATTTAGCAAACCTTGAAAATTACTTGTACATACCAAATTTATATAGTGGTTTTTTTGGAAAAAATATCTTTAAATTTTAATTTTCAAAATCTTATGATTAAAAATTGGACGCGATAGGCATTTCATCTGTAGGAAAAAGAATTGTCTTATTCTTGATGTTCGATATGCTCGTGAACTCATGGTACTGTTTTGCAAAATACCGCTTATAGTAACTTAAAATTTGGGGAAATATAATGAATACCGTCATGAGAAGAATAGTTGTAAATTTTTGAAAATGGAGATTGAAAAATTTAAGGCAATTAAAGTAAAACTTTTGTTAATAAATTTTAGGTAAGACTGATCTCGTATCAAATTCATACGATTTTCTAAAGCGTGCTCGCGAATATTTTCCCTTATTTTAAACCATGTAAACTATCATCGATGTAGTGAATTTCTGATTCATTCTTTTTTAACTTCCAACTTGTTGTTAGTAGTCTATTAAAATAAAACCAAAGCAATACAGCACCTAGGGCTGGTCTTTTTAGAGGCAGACAATGTTTTGAGGACACGCGAAACTAAATAATAATAACTCACGGCGATAGGTTTTCTCTTCTGTTCCGAGGCGAGAGTTCGCATGTTTCTAACTTTTGAATCATGTTTTCTTGTGATAGACTGCATCGTTGTCTGTATATTTGTGTACAATATTTTGACTTTGAAATGTATATAAATATAATAATAATTAATAAATAAAGGCTATTTTATAAAAGTTTTGTTCTTTCTTTTCGTCCCAGTACGAGTTTTGTAGAATTACAAATTTTAATTATGTGATAATTACTGACAAGTTGGAGTTTGGAGTAAGAATTAAAGGACTCGGAATGATTGTAATAATTTATTGAAAATTTTCTATTAAATGCGGTTCCCACCCAGTAAACATACCAAAATGTCTAATTTTTATCTAAATGCTTTTGTTTATATAAAAAAAAGTGCGTATACGAGTCTAGAAATCAAAAAATTATACTTGGGGCTGCATTTGTTAATTTATTCTTTTCTAAATTTTATCATTCAAGAAAATGAAAAAAAATTAAAATTCCATTCATTCTATTCAACTTAGAACAGGCCATCTGTGTGCTGCGATTCAAATTAGTACCAGAAAAATTAGAGTGATCTATATCAATTATATCGCAGTTTAGTTTACTTCGTAGTCAGTAGATGGATCAGCATGAAAAATTGGACAATTGGAACTACAGAATCAACTCATTGGTCGAAAGTTTGAATTAAAATTCTAATTCAGGAAGTGAAACGATTAGAATTAAATATTAATAATTTCCTGACATGAAAATATGCAAAGAGTAAAACTGCGTACGTATTTAAAACCACGGGATATGTCGAGATAATAAATTTCTATTCTCACGAAAAAAAAACTAAGAGTACTTGATCTAAAACGCTTTCGTTTCAACAACGAAAGTAACTATTATTATTATTTTAGAAATTGTTGGCAACTCTGATCATAAAACCCTGTGTTCAATTGAAAACAATTTCAGTGTTAACACTGTTAACGCAAAAAATATTGTTTTTCCCTTTTTTAAACAAAATAATTGCAGTTTCTTTACAAAGTGATGAGAATTATAAAATAATCTCAAATATTTTCTGAGGTGTCAAACACAAAAAAGTCGGTAGGCCGGTAGGTGCATCAGCGCTAACATTGCAATATTTTTATAATATAAATATGACTCTTTTTCAAAAAATAGTTACCTGCTACATAGACAGCATTGTAAAGATGGGCTAATTTTGAAGAAAAAAATAGAGAAAAGTTGTCATGAGTTTGATTTTTGAGAAAAGCTGAATGACAAAATTTATAATTTTTTTTTTGTAAACGCTATATTTGTCTATAACTTCCAGTTTTACAGTTTTAATACAAAACGTCGATTGAAATATTTCTCTCGCTTATAAAAAACAAAGAAGAGTTTTTTCTAGCTCTTTTTGACAAGCGGATTTTATTTTTATTTCGCTCATGTTGGCAACGTCGGAAGTAGGTAGGTAATATAGAAATTAGAATAGGGAAAAATTCCGATGGCTGATAGAAAGGAAAATTCGAGTAGAAATAATAAAAATCAAAGTAGGAATCATAATTTCCGCAAACGGCCACCACAGAAACCCGAAATAGGGGAAAACGTTCTATTCATAAGTACAAAAACGAATATAAAAGTGAGAAATGTCCGTTTTTAGGTTAATTCCTAAAACTTACAAAAAATAAAATAAATTTTAGGCCCAGTTAGAGCGTTGCAAGAAGTTGATAAACAACAACGAGAGTGAGATTATAATCTACTGCCTAGGAGCTGCTATTCAGAGAGGCATATTATTGGCTCTTCAGTTGTGTGAACATCATGTCGCATACAAGATCTATACTAATACTTTATCTACTGAACTAATAGGTAAACGTGTTATTTTACATTTTAAGCAAGCTGTTTCGTGATTTTCTTATTTCTAGATGACTTAGAACCGGCGGTGGATGACGCAGACTATGATATTCAAAAACGTTTTAATTCTGCATTACGCATAAGAATCTTCCGCAGCGATCCCCTTGAGACGCCCGAAAAGAAAGCTAACTGAATATGTTCTTTACTATAGACGAATTGGTGCGGTGGTTGGGACTCACAGTGTTTGAAATATGGATCAATCTGATCTCTATACTACTCTTTACTATTCTCCTTGCTTTCAAGTACGATCCCAACATTGAAGTGTACAACAATGACTGGTGGACGATTTTCTTTCCGTTGTTTGCCGGGGATGCTTTGAACACATATTTTTGTATCATAATTTTTATAAGAATGCTGTTAGAAATGACCCTGAAGTTTTCTTTTATGAGAATCAGCTGGTCTGCGATTTTCTTGCTGATGACTTTTCTGTTTAAATTTTTGCTGTGCAAGAGGCTTTTGGGCCAAGTGAAGTTGGACTATTCCGAGGTATTTGCACCTCTGTACATATTGTTACAATTGATAGCGGTCAGAGCCTGTCAGCAAAGTTAACGTGTTTTGTGAATAGAAACTTATTATTATTATTTCAAACTACAAAAATACATAATGTTAGCATTTGCTGTATTTTATATACAAAAAATACAATTTTTGTGTATAGTTTTGTATTATTAATACAATATTACATTCCTTCTTAACCACTGGCCTTATTAAAATACATTATTGTAATTGAATTGTTGACTGTTCAATAAAGTTATATTAATCTTGATAAAGTTTTATTAGAAAAAATACAAATCTAAGTGTATACATATAACAAAAAATTGTCAATCGTCTGTATCTTCATCAACACGATTCTCCATATATTGCGTTATCTGGCTCTGAAGTTCAGAATCTTCAGTAATGTCAGACATTAGTAACTGCTTACTACTGCAACCAACATATGGGCACTTTGCCTTCCTCTTCTGTTGTTTTATATAATCAGTAATCATAGCACGTTCATAAACATGTTTACACTTCCTGCTTCTCACGGGATCTCTAATAATAACTTTACTGATAGGATCAATTGGGGGAGTAAATACATTTGAACAAAACAACGAATCACCTAACTCCTCAAATTCGCTATCGTTAAGTTTTTTCCTTTTACTTTTTACTTCCATTACGTCGCTCATTCCTTTAAAAACGTTTTGCCAGATATCGCTGTCGGTGTATTCCTCAGTAGTCTCTTCTTCTTGTTTCAAATTTTCTTCAAAGAGTTCTTTGACATTTCTAGTGCATTCTTCGCTTTCATTACCGAGTTGTTCCTCTGTTTTTTCTATAGCTCTTAATGAACTCTTAAATTTTCGACTAATATCACAATAACTTTCAGTGGTTTCTTTTAGTTTGTTAATCTCAGCAACACTATCATCTTCATCGATGTATTCTGCGATCAAATCTTTCCATGTTTTTAGAGATTCAACGCATCTGTCTAGAATTTGTTCGTGCCTCTCTTGTAGAGTCATTCCTTTTTAATATTATTTTATTTGTCACAAAATAGACGGAACGCAATATATTTAATGTTCTTGTTACAAATCGCTATTTTTCAAAACATAACCTTACAAATAAAACACGTAACACATAAAATATAATGGAATCTCTATGGTTTATCTTGAAGGTATTTTTGGTATGCAACCTAAAATACATTAAATCTTAGATACATATCCATCGTAGGGCGCTAGTATTGAAATTTCTGAAAAGTTCCCGCGGTATGATTGGTTGCCTAATAATAACATTATGTCAATATGTCTACCCGATCCTGCTATGCTATGACCGCCATGAGTTTGTTTGAGGTTAAGTTTTCGTTTGTAGTGGTACATACATACGTATTTTCGTGGTGTTATAAACTAATATATTTTTTATATTAATTTTCTTTTTTTTGACTACAAATCTTATAAATAGTGAAATCTTGCAATATACATATGACGATTACATTTTGTACTTAACAAAATTGATGAATAAACTGGTATTCTTGCATATTATACATTACTATTTATTTGGTGTTACAAGATGAGGTCCATCAATAATTTTGCCAAAAGATTCATTCATAACATAAATTGGTAAATACGGAATGGAAATTTATGGGCTCAAATTTTAAAGAAGCCTGAAACTCAAGTTAATGTATTATTTTGTTCAGTAGCAAACTATTTTCAATGTATAATTTTATGTGTATAAGTTCTATATTATTATTTTTTTTTAATTGTTTCAATTCAAATAAGAATCTGTCTTTCAGATTAGAAAAACTGTAAATATTCAAAGCTAATGGTGGGAAATGCAGTGGCAAAACACTTTCGAGATGAAATTTGAAATTCTGTAACTATTGAAATATTCATAACTTTTAAGCCCAGTTTTTAATTGTTGTTTGTCGCCATATGAGTAACTAAATAATGATTATCGCTAACTAGCAGTTAACCCTAACTTTATTTTCTTCTATTGAAATAAGAACAATTTCCTCCAAAATTGAAGGTTAACTTAATCAAAAATGTATTTGTAAATTAGCTTTTAATTGTATATTACTATCACGAAATCTTCATTTGAAAAGTGTTCAAGTATGTGTGATTGAAAAACCGGGCCTTATTAAAGTTATGCGACATATAGGATTATATTAGTTATGGTAATTTAAAATTTCTCTTTTATTTTATTTCTGCATTTTTCATCGTTAGTTTTGTATATTTATGGTTTTTCGAATCTCGTAAAATTAATAATTTTACCACAGAAATATATTGTCTTCTATGTGTAATAGATGGCGCTAAACTGAATAATGAAGTGACCTATAAATTGTATAAAAAGTTAGGTACATATCCGTTGGATGGCGCTGTACGATAAATAAATTCTCCAACAAAACTTCACTACTGCAGTTTCCATTATATTTTAAGTGTTATGTGAAATAAAAATTCAAAATTTCTTCTCGTCTTCGTAGGTTGTTCATGCACAAAGCCATAGATTAAGAAGGTAAGATGCACAAAGCTAGGGACTAGGGAGAGGAGACGAGACTAGACATCACAAAACAGAAGAAGAAAGACTTGACATGCATAAGCCAAATTAGAGGGCGCTAGTGTCCCAGATACTCCGCCCCGAAATAGTGGTGGTTGGAGAGAGATAAAGAAAGGGGCAGTTCGAATTAAAAATCAATCGTGTCGTTTCTGTGATATGTTAAAAATTATAAAATAAATAATGTGGGCTACTTTGAATTAGATAAATAAATCAATGAAAATATGTAGGTGTCCAAGGAACACTAGCGACCCTAGCGGTGAAAACTATAAGTATTTTCTACTATTTCGTGCTCCTTGTCTAGTCTCCCTGGCTTAAATACAAAAATTGCTGGCAAGCTGTATGACGGCAAGCTCTATTGGATTAAAAAATGACATTTGACGCCAAATTTAAAATTCTTTGCTTAGTGATGTATACGATACATATCTATATTTTTTTAAGACTAAAATAAGCTTTAAATGATAATACGTATGGGATTTTTAACCTAATTTCATTTTGTGTTGTTAAAAAGTATTAAAATATTTTATTTAAATTTCAAATGTGTAACTTTTAAAATTTATTGTGATTGGCAGAAATGGAAAAACGATTTTACTATAATCTTTATTTGAATAATCATCTGAGACAAAAAAAAACAATGTAGAAATGTTAAAATACAAATCTGAAACAAATAAGTCTATTATTCACGCAATCATGAAAATACTACTTACAATCACATTTCAGTCAGTGGCCGCATCCTTACCACGCAAATATTGATTAAATCAAATATATAATATATAAAATAACACCGGTACTAAAAACTAGTCCTAAAAGAAAAACAATTTTGAAACAAAACTTTTCAACTCGTAAAAAGTTCCAGATGAATCAAAAGCTGTCAAAGAGGTAGTCCCCTGAATAAAAAAATAGAATGATCTCGAGAATCCAATAAATTAAACATTTTAAACTCGCTCATAATCAAAACACGTCTTCAAATACACATAAATGCATAAAATGTGCCCCGATCTTCACTCGCTGCTCCACTAAAGCGAAAATAAACATACTGTAGAAAAAAATGAGTATGTCTTTACAAACCGTCTACAAAAATGTGTTTATTTACCAGGACCCCCGATATCTCAATTTATTTAGTTCATGTAACAGAAGGGCTTCTTCTAATTGGCTTGCACCTCCTTAGGTGGCGAGAGGGGATCGTTGTTCGTTTGACCATCGACACACTTCCACAAACCGTAGGTCTTCCCCACTGTGGTTTGCCACAGCCTCAGAGTGCCGTCTTCCGATCCCGAAGCGTACAGTTCCCCGTCTGGAGAGAATTTCAGGCAATGAACAGGCCCAAAGTGGCCCTTGAAGGATTCGATCTCCGTGCCGGTGGTATAGTCGAATTTGTACACTTTGAGGTCATCTCCGCCGGTAACGAACATGCTCTTGTCGGGATGGAGAGAAGCCGAATTGACGGTGGTAGGGATCGTGAATTCACGAATTTTTGCGAGGGTTTCAGAGTCTAGGAAGACGACGTGGTTGGCGTAGGCCACAGTGAGGACTGTTCCGTCTTTGGATACTTCAAGACTGTTAGGCGTCGAAGAGAATTCTACTTTCTGAACCTCCTAAAATATATTTAGTCGTGTTATTAGAGTTCGGGTTTCAGGGTGCGTAGCAGGGTAGTACTCAGTTCACTCTTAGTTATCGTTACAGTTATTTATTAGAATTTACTAGAATTGGTACAGTGGTACACAATTCAACGCTTTAGTACGAAAACATGCTGTCTCAGATTTTGGTTGGAAAAAATGCTAACTACATGCTCTTAGTTTGACTAGAAATTTAAGTTGGCACATTGAATGATTAAAACCGTGCATTTATAATAAACTTATATATTTTTCAAAAAGTAAGGAATATTTATGAGGTACACTGTTTGTTTTATTTTTTTTATTCAACATTTTTCAATTAATTTTGTTAAATTACTGTTATAAACGATAAAATTTTTAATTAAAAAAATGGAAAAATATGCAGTATGCTGCAACACATACACTACTGTACGTTTTTTGAAATAACAAATTATAAAAAAATAATGTATACCTTAATATATAAAAATTATTCGATTTTTTCATGCAAGTTTGCATTGACATAAAAATTAATAGCACACTCTTACCTGATTTATAGTCACTACTCTTACTTTTATTAATAGAGTTAACATAATAACCAGAATATAAATATAATGTATAAAGTTGAATGATATGTACATTTCGATGCGACGGGCGCATATGATATGCACGTGCACATTTCCGCAGTTCCCCATGCACACATATTTATCATCAGCAGATCATAGTTTTAAATAAAAAAATTATTTCGACTCCAGAAGGTCGTAGAAAAACATTTTTTTTTTAAATTCGTGAAAAAATGTCAGCAGTTTCTTTCTATAAGTCATTTTTATAAAATAAAAATTGAAATAGTTATTTGAACCAAAAAAAGTGCACCTTTTTCAGTGATTTTTTGATCCTTAGAATTAATAAAATCGTCAACATTTTTTGACAGCTTGATAATATAACTCTTTACGAAGAAAATAAACCGAAAATCGTTACTGTAGGTCTATCCGCTGAGAAGATCTAGCTAATTTTCAAGAGCGCCTTTTTTTCACAAAATCGATAAGTATATCTCAAAAAATAATTAATATTTTAAAAATGCTCAAAAATGTACTTTTTTGGCTTGCCGCGGGCTATCCTTGCAGTAAATAGCAAATATGGGAACGTAAATGTAAACGAGTTATAGAAGAAGAGAAAAGAGAAGATTTTTAACGGTTTTTTCGATATATCTCGAAAAGTAACAAAGCAATCGATACTTTCAAAAAATCAGTCGATAGATCTTTTTAAAACCTACAACTTTCTCATTTAAAATTTTTCAATCGGTGCTATATTTTTTTAGTTATTTTAGAAAAACCGTTTTCTGCAACTTTGCTATTTTTTTAACCATTTTGGATAAAGTTTAAAGATCAAGAAACTCAATTTAAAATTTAATTTTCTATACACTCATATTTTTTTTGTCCAGGTAATAATTTCTGCAAATTTAACATTAAACCGCGACAGAATGCTTGGGCTACTAGCCTGGTCCACTATATAATTCTTTTTATTGCAGTCTCCTTAGTCTGCATGAGGGATACAAAATTATTTTCAGAATAAATTGTGCATTCCAGATTTTGTGAAAAAGAAAAATAAGTGTAGTGACTATAAATCAGATAAGAGTGCGCTATTAATTTTTATATCAAAGCAAACTTGTATGAAAAAAAGCGAATAATTTTTAGTAATAATAAACATTTTTATATATTAAGGTATACACTATTTTTGTATAATTTGTTATTTCAAAAAACGTTGAGTATTGTACGTGTTGCAGCATACTGCATATTATTCTATTTTTTTAATTAACAATTTTGTTGTTTATAACAGTGACAACAAAATTAATTGAAAAATGTTGAATAAAAAAAATAAAATAAATAGGGTACCTGGACGTAAATATTCCTTACTTTTTGAAAAATATATAATTAGTACTAAAGCGTTGAATTACTCCAGTCGAATTAGAATTTGAACGTTAGAAAATTATTAATAGACATTTTGGCTGTGTTCCGCGAATGGTCAGACTAGTTATCAAACTTCTTTAGTCAAACAATTCGCTGAACGGCCATTAGTAACAATATTAAAATCTGCCCAATAAGCTGATTGGGCTGACCAACGAAATATTTATCTGCTGAACGACTTTGACCAGTCCGACTATTCGCTGAACACAGCCTTTATTGCACTTTATTATTCCCATTGGGACGGGTATATAAAATGATAACTTCAAAAACGTAACCTGAAAGAACTGACGGCAAATTGCTAATAAGTGCCAAATTTACATGTTTTTTTCACTTTTTTTTTTACTGTCCACGAAAATCTAGACAATCTATCGGAAAATTAGTCATTTTATGTTGTAGACAATTAAATTATCTACAATTTAAAAATAATTTGTTAACTGTAAAATATAGGTCGAATCCGGAAATATCAGTTTTCGAAAATTGAGCATTATTATTGCAAAAAGCGAAGGATGTTGATGAAATTTATGGAAAAGGTGCGTTAATTAAATGTTGAAAATAGAATCACAAAACTGACACCAATGTAAAAGGGTTTTTTTGGAGAATATCTTCGAAATACAGAAATCGATAAAAGCTATTTGTTTTTCGCGACTGTCATTAATTTTATTGCAGTTTTTTGAAGGTATTTTCCAACTGAAAGATATCAATACATACTAAGAAATTTTTAGATCACCCGTTAAAAATTATAATAAGAAATTAAGGAAATTGAATAAAGTTATCATATTTCCAACTATTGAGATAATGAGGTCATAATTAAATAAAAATAGAGAAATTTGAAACTGGTTGACTAATTCTTGACCAGTCGGTCAAAATCCAGTCAGAGACAATTTTCTAATATCCATTACTCGATCACCCAATTAAAATAAAAAAAATTTATAAGTACATTTTTATATCTAACATTAATAATTATAAAAATGAAACTTTAAATCAAACTAAATTAAATAAATTTGCGAAGGGTGGCAATGATGGTCAAAAGCATTGAAACTGGGGGGAAAATAATACTTATACTCATAACCACATGGTTACAAAATTAGTCGAGAACCGATATTGGTCAGATAACGGGCGCAGTATATATATAAAAAAAAAATAAAAAGGACAAAACAGAAAAGATTACCTTTCCAGACGACCTATCCCAAACTCTTAATGTTTTATCATCAGCGCAGGATACAAGATGCGTATCGTTTCTAAAAAAAAATACATGTCTTATTCCAGACGTGTGCCCACTAAATACTTCTGGACCTGCAAAGCAAAGAATATTCATATACATTCTACCTCTACACATTTTTCAGATGTATTTCGGAAAGCATCTATTAATTATATTTCAGAATAGTTAGTTTTAACATAGAAGTTATCAATTCTATTTTAGAAAGCGTAAATTGTATTTCAACAAACATTATTTGTATTTCACTGCAAATGAAAAACTTGTAAAAATCCTATATACGTTGCGACTATTTTTCGTTGATATTTTCCACAAAGAAAATAATTTTTTCATTATAAAATATAGATCTTTAGGTTTTGTTATATTATATCTATAATGCAAAACTTATTTTACATACACGAAACATCTAATATTTCTTGTAATATTTTGATAAATGTGATGGATTTCCATGGATTTAAACATTTTACATTTTCTTTTAAATACATTTGACGAATTCTAAAACAAAAAAAAACTATTCTGATATATAATTGACGCTTTCTGAAATACATCTGGAAAAGGTGTAGTTAGAGAAAATTAAACTTAATTATTTTATAGCTAAGACACACCTGCTTCTGGTTTATTAAGGTCAAATACTCTAACTAATTTTTCGTTGCTTCCCGTGGTCAAATGCGTTGAGTCCTTGGAAAAATTTACACTTTTTACAATGTGGTTGTGTTGAAAAGAGTGGAGTTCCTCTCCCGAGATGGCGTCCCACACCTTTCCCGTAAAATCTGCAGCCCCGGTGGCTGCTCGGGTGGCCTCAGTGTTTAGAGCTACACCCCAAACAGCTCCTTTGTGTCCCTCGAAGGTACCGATCCAGTCCCCTGTATCCCCCTGGCGTAACATGGGCTTCCCATCTGCACATAAAATTTCCCCGTCATTTTAATAATTTATGAATAAAAATGATATTATCAAAAAATCTGTGGTATTATATTGTAAAAGATAAGATAACAAGATCCTAAAAATAATTACTTGTGAAACATATTGTACCTGTAGACCTTAAAAAAATAATGGAAACAGGAAGATTCTTGAGAGTGACCTCACAATAAAATTTTAAGGCAAAGCCTCAAGAAGGTCAAGCCACTTGCTAGGTTTCAATTGTTGTTAAAATCAGGCCAAGGTGTAACACTCTTGGACACTGAAAGGTTAGTAATTGTAACGTTTTACTCACCTTTACATGCCGAAATTAGAAAATATCCGCTGTCCGTCACTCCACTAAAGTCCAAGTAAACTACGGGCCTGGTGTGACCACTGCACGTCAAAGGGGTTTGTCTCAGATTTGCCATTTCTTCGGATTCGGAAAAAAAATACAGACAAAACACGTCTGTTCAAAAAGAAGACTTAATTTGACAGCATAAGAACTCAAATGATAATGTGCGATGTGTGCAACATGTCAATGGAGTAAATACAAATTCCCCCAAGTTTTACCCTTTTGGAGAGGGGCCGTTGTGTTTCTGGTTGCCTAGAAATTTGACTCTGACAATTCGCAATTCCTTTTCTCTGTTTTCTAATCAATCATATCCACATAATAGTCCAAGCATTCTGTCACGGATTAATGTTAAATTTGCAGAAATTATTACCTGGACAAAAAAAATATGACCGTATAGAAACTCGATTTAAAATTTAATTTTCTATACGGTCATATTTTTTTTGTCCAGGTAATAATTTCTGTAAGCATTTCTCTATAATGCTTGGACTATAATTCTATACATCATATCGCAGTGTCAGACTGAATGTTTGAAACCATCGACTTTTCAAACCTTTGCGTTGAAGATGGATAAACTTCTTTTAGTGATTTTAATAAAAATTGTTACATAAATTCACAAATCATTAATTTTCTACAGGGTGTTGAAATAAAAAGAATCACATTTCATCTTATTTTACAAAACTGTTTTCCATTTATTACTTTTTTTATTTTCACTAACGTTACAGAAAACTCAAAAAAATGTAAAATTATTCTAGATCTATTCGTTTCTCTAAAAATATTCTTGCAATTTTTTTTTTTACTTGAAATAAAATTTGACAGTCGTGACAAATCTGAAAAAAAATCAATTGCCTGAAATTTTGCATTTTTATTAGAGGCATGGGCGTAGCTAGAATTTTTGCTTGGGGTGGGCCCAAGGTAACAAACTCTAGTCTAAAAAAAAGCTCATAATCTTCGCAAACATTGCCGATTCAAATGTCAAAAATCTGAACACGTATTGATTTAATTCTAAATAAAAAAGGTCACGCAGTCGGCGACTTGCCGATATGATAGACGATAATATTAGATTTTTTTTCTGGGATGGGCAGCGGGCTTTCTGGGGTGTGGTAGACCATGCACACCCCTGCTTTTTCTTAGCTGTGCCCATGATTATAATCAATATAGGGTCAAACGTAAAAAGTATTAATTCCACAAAATCTGTGCAGTTGTGACAGATGATAAATATTAGATCTTTTTTATGGTTACGCCGATGATTAGAAGTGGCAAGAGGTACGGCCCGAATGAAGTTTTTGGAAAAGTTAATGAAATTTAAAAAACGTAAATCTAAAATGGTTTGTTTTCAAATAATATGCAATGTATCTTTATTTATGAAAACACCATAAGGAATCTGAAGTAGCGATTCAATTTTCAATTTATCTAATGGTTTTTGAATTTCAGGGTTCTTATTTACCATGTACTTCTCCCATAGGTATAACAATTTATATCCGAATAGTGAATTTTTACATTTAATTAGATAAGTCATTATCCTAGGTTATATCATTCTGAACAAAACATCTGCAAAGATATTTTAGAAAAGTGAAAATTTATTTTAATTTCATCATTCTGTACTTATCTGGAAGACCATCAATTTGCATATCCAGCTACATATATTAACTTCTTGATTTAAAATCACCCAAAGAATCACCCTTTAAAGTTTTTTATGGACTTAATTAACACCCTGTATGTTACGTCCACGTTCCCAACAATTTTTATTTACAGGAATATCTTCAGATTAGTATGTATTTATAAAGACACCTATACTTAATCTATTCAGCTTTAATAAAATTAAATGTTTCACAAATTAAACCTACGATAATTACGAATCAGTAAACTTTTATATGATACTTAAAAATTGTACAAAAGTAGAAAATAATTAAAATCTGAATATCAATCTTGCGTAATAAAAGGGTTTTGTATAGATTCCATGCCATCCATTGGACAAATGAGAACTACACTAGTACCCCTGCATACAACTAAACCTAATTCTCTAGTATCATCAGTTAATTTATAAGGGTCGTCAGGATCTCGTAAATATTCTGAAGTATTGTCTAATACTAGGTTTAAAAGTGGATCATATCCTTTTAGAATACCACTGGCTTCTCTTCCGCCAGCAAATTTAACTCTTATCGTCTTCTCTAGATATTTAGACAAATCTAGAATGGATTCCTTGCGTTTCTTTTCCTTCTGTTCACCACTTTGATTATTCTGAAACTGCGGTTATTAATTTTAATTACAGATATATTGACAGTATTACCTTTTCTCTTTTATCTCCTGAAGATGCCATTTTATACAATATTTACGTTTTTATAACGAACTAAAATTCATAAATAGATAATATAACCTTACAAAGCCCTAAAAAAAATTGAACAAACATAACCTCATTAAAAACTTAAACATTTGAACTACCATAATATGCGTTTTCCATTTGTAGTAATTTTTTTTAATAGCTTAAAGTACATATCACTTTCTTTGAATTTTAAACTTCAATATTCTTTTTTGAACTCTATTTTCTAGTATATAAACATAAAAAAACTCGTTACAAGGAAGGAAATCAAATTGGAAAGAATTAATTAAATAGGGACTTTTATTTTGAAGATACGGATAGATACGGATCTAAAGAAAAAAAATACACCAACGCAAAGGGAGAAACTTGACACTTTTGACAGTTCTTCGTTCACCATTGTTTTCTAGTTGAGATAAAGAAATTGATAAGTTTAATGTAATTTTTATTCGTATTGTTTTGTTAATTTTACTGTGGGGAAATAAAATATTAAAACAGATATACTAATTCTACAATTTAGTGATTATAGTGAACGAAAGGATTCTAAATTCTAACTCTTTCGAGGTGATGCGAATCTGTGAATCCAACATCTGTTTATTTATTTAAGAAAGCGACCTTGTGTTGTAAAAATAAACGACGAGTCGAAAACAAGACGAGAGGAATTTAGTATTTTTATTGTAGAGGCAGTCATTCCGGCGCAGTTTACATAAGATTCGTTAAAGAGGGTTTTTTTGTTTTTTATTCATCGATGTGAGACCAATACTTAGAAGTGACTGTTTGTACTTTTCTTTGCAAAATCTCTCTATTATGATTACAATTGGACTGATTCCATTGCTATGGCTGAGGATATTAGTAAGCCACCTCAAAAACAGTACGATTACCTGCTAAAGTTCCTCTTAGTGGGTGATAGCGACGTAGGAAAACAAGAGATTCTTTCAGATCTAGACGACGGAGCATCAGAGAGCCCTTTCTGTAGTGGCAGCGGTAAGTGTATGTACCATCGTGGCGTTTCTCATTCAAGCTCTTATGAAATTTAATTTTCAGCCTACAAAACCACAACGATACTCTTAGATGGTAAAAGGGTGAAACTTCAATTGTGGGACACCTCCGGGCAAGGTCGTTTTTGTACCATAATTCGTAGCTATTCGAGAGGTGCGCAGGGTGTTCTTCTCGTTTACGATATTACCAATCGATGGTCATTTGATGGACTAGATAGGTGGTTGAAGGAAGTTGACGAACATGCACCCGGAGTTCCTAAAGTTCTGGTGGGAAATCGCCTGCATCTGGCATTTAATAGGAAAGTAGGGCAGAGGGATGCCCAGATATACGCCAACAAGCATAGCATGGCATTCTTCGAGGTGTCTCCTTTGTGTAATTTCAACATACACGAGAGTTTCTGTGAGTTGTCACGCATGGCCCTGCAGAGAAATGGCATGGAAAGACTTTGGAGGTCCAACAAAGGTATGTCATGTGTTTTTGATTTGATTATGCATTGGGAATAATAAATAGTGATAATAAGAGTGTCGATGAATAACAATTAAATATGCAGGGTCATCGTGGAACATTGTTTAAATTATTCATCCTGCTAATATTAGAAAGAGGAATTATAAAGAGTTATTTTTAATGAAGGGCATAGCTAATATAAAGAGTATGGTGGGAAGTCCCTCAGATGTAGGTATAATTTTAGAGGAAAGACGATAATTTTTACGGTATCCTAAAAATACTTTTGTATACCTTTCAGATATCGAAAAATATGTACTTAGTTTATGGATGAGATTCATATTGAACCTTTTCTGGATTGTAAAGATGGAAACATTGTTTCATATATTTTTTTTTTTTGACATGAGAGCCATATTTGTTAAGATGTTTTGGTTCTGTCTATGAATTTGTTGGTGAATATAACCATAGTTGTATTCAAAATTTAAGTTGAGGAAAATTATTATTTCCCCTAGACAAAGTAGTGCAGTTTATGTAGCTAGCTATTTATTGTTTAACAAAATATTTTGGGGACAATTTATTAATGGGTTTACAATAAAAAGAGGTCTCTTGCAACATTTATACTAAATGAGGAAATTACATTAAATTTTCTTTTGAAGCAAAATTTATTTAAAGTGCAGAAAATTACTATAAAAGTATGTTTCTATATATAAAACCCCTTAAAACTTAACTATTAATATGTAATTAATTATTAAAATATTGAATATGATTAGGTGGGCGAAAACGGTCCCTAATTGGTCGAGCAATTTGTGACATCAGGATCCGGTATATGAGTGTTAAGACAAGACTGTCAAGACGCGGGAGGCTGGCGCTGTCATTGCATTGCTGTCATTTAATTTTGTGATGAATTAGTTTGTGTTCGCATTGAATTCTGAGTAGTTTTGAGTAGTTAGTTTTAGTGTATAAATTTAAAAACAAGTTTCGTTAATTTTCGTAGAGTCTACGAACGTTTTCATAATATCTAACCAGGCAGCTTTAATGCGTGGCGGCTTCAGGATCAGAACACGAGAACATGAAAAACATAGCAGTGTCTGAACATATATATTATAGTACCCATGTGTAGTTCCACAACACTAACTGCCCCCCAACAAAGTATTTAATGTACCAAAGGATAAGAAAATGAGGAAGAAATCATGCAAACATATTTTATAGAACATCTATTTTTGACAAATTATCAGATTGTTCTTGGACAAACCCAGCTTCTGTAGCCATAGAATGTACAATTTTTAAAATAATTAACAATATTGTGTTAAGTAAAAGTAAATAATATAAAATCTATCGGGCACACGTAGTTTACATAAACACAAATTAGTAAGAGTGAGACAGACTACAGAACACTACTCTACACGACTCGTTTAATTTGGACCGATACCGGATCGTGACGTAAGAGTCAGCCGTCTTTGTTTAAGACTGCGTTTTAGTGCATAGAGAATTATTTTGAATTTATATATTTTTTTATAGGAAAACTATTAATTAAAAATTTAAAATTTATGTGGCAATTGACTTTTTACGATGAAAGGAATTTAATAAGAAAAGAAAAAAA